TTTAGTAACCAAAAGGTTTTAGGTTCTGCGTTTAGTTTGTTTAGATTTTATAAAATTGAAATTTGGTGTTTTTGGATTTGAATTTCTATAGGGTTTTGCATTCTAGGGATTTCTAAGTTTAGTTTTCTAGACAATTTATTAGATTTAAAAAAAAAAATTTATCAGCTTTTGTGATTTATTCGTTCATTTTTAAAAATCAATTAGAGAAAAAACAGAAGAATAACTATTTTAAAAAAGAGAGGCATACTCAAAACTTCTGAAGAAAAGCATAAAATTGGAGGCACCCCGATCCGCGTATTTTACAATGCATAACCCAACCTGATTACAAATATTTTTTATTTTTATTTTTATTTTTTGATTTTTTGTTATTTTATTTTATCATTTTATATTTTAAGTTTTTTATTTCATTTTTATTATTTATTATATTTTGTTGATTTTTTTAGCAATTTATTATTTATTAAATATTTTATAAAAATTTCTTTTATTATTTTATTCCTGAAAAACAATAAAAAAATATTTGCAAATAAATTAATGAATTTCACCAAACTATTAGAGAATTTTCATGGATTTAAAGTTTATGGAATCTACCAAATTATTGAAAAATTTCATAAATCAATTAAAAAAAACAAATAAAAAAATAATGAATAAAAAATAACTTTTATCCTCTAAACTATTGGAGGATTGCTCCAAATTAAACTCTACCAAATTATTGAAAGATTTAATAAAATTTTAAAAAAAAAATTTACAAATCTTTTTACAATAAAATCTCACCAAAATATTAAAAAATTTACTTCAAAGTAAGTCTTATCAAACTATTAAGAGATTTTATTAATTTTTTTGAAATAAAATAAATTAATAAATCCAACGATAAAACTTTTTTAGAATGAGACATTAATGTGTGTGCGCGCGTGTGTATATATATATATATATATATATATATTCTTTGACAAACTTTCAGAGCATATTTGTACAGTTCACAAATTGATTGCCAACACAAAATGCCTAGGCTAGAATGGTAGCCACTAGCGACCTCAATTGTGCACAATTGGCTTGATGCTGTTGGAAGTATAAAAAGTAGATTCCAATTTAATTTGAGTTGCAGACCTCCTATGGCATTCAGCTATGCTTTTTTTTTTTTTTTTGCCAAAGTTTACTGATGCACATAAAGGCTTACATAAAGGCTTACAAAAATTGTTTGGCACATGAAAGCCAAGCCACTTGAGCCCCTTCGTAGCAGACTGGCGGAAACCATTTACTTTGATGTGTCCAAAGGAAGATGGTTCCAGCTTCGAATCTTGTGGGAGTGTTGGGATTTATGAAATGAAAAATGGTTTCCTCTCTCATGTTGTAATTCAAGCTCAATATTAAAAAATAAAAACATTTATGAAGCAATATTGAAGTACTAACTACGGGGTTGCGTCCTCAACAGTCACAACCCAAACCAGGTACCGGTACATCTTTCTTGAACAGTATCACCATCTCATCATTGGTGTTGAATTAGATCAAGTTATGAGCACATCATCATAATAGCTTTTATTATTTTATTATCATAGAACAACACAATACTCTGACACAAGCTTCTTCGAAGAGTGCTAAGAAAGCTCAAACACAAACCCTAATAATTATTTCAAATCTAGTGAATATTAACTTTGGAGCATGCTGCATTTGATTTATTAATCATAGCATCAAGAGGTTCCAAATTCAAGTTCCCAAACGAGACATAAACAGACCTGCAAGTATCAAAGTAATAACAAGGAATGAAATCAAGCACCCTGGGAAAGAGACACACAAGCAACATGTGCATCAATCAATCATTCAATATTTTTTGCTAGCTAGGATGTGAAATAGATTTGATTAATTTTGCTGAGTATAAATGAAAATCAACTTACCAATTATCTAGATTTCGATAGAGCAACCACGTTTCATACAATATTTAATCAACTCTTCAATCTTGTCTTCGCCAATGTACCTGTTTCCATTTTCATCCACATGGCTAAGGGATGTAAAAGTTTTCTTGCTTGGTGGAGATAAACCGAGGTATTTGAAAGCTCCTTCAACGTCTTTCTTCCTGAGACGGCCATCTCCGTCAGAATCAAAGCTCCTGAATATGCTCAGCAATTGATACTCAGTGAGGGGAGGGGTAACACTCTTAGACTTGGTAGTAATAGTTCTGGGGCATTTTTTATCCACGTTAGGCATCCAACTGCTTCCCGACATTGGAGAAACGGAGGTGCTAGGAAAGAAGAATCTAAGGCTTTGCTGCGGTTTGATGTTTGGGCAATTAGACAGCCGCAAGGTTTTAAATAGCTTACATTTTGTACCAGGAAATTTCCTCGTACAAGAGATGTAGGAAATTTCCTCGTACATGAGAGGCAACAGCGTATTTCGATACTCGTAATTTTCATTCTAAATGCTAAAAAAATTACATAAATTTTTTTTAACTTCATAAGTGAATCTAGGGAATAGACATGGTCATGGCCCTCCAAAAAAATTTTGATACCTTTAAAATTATTGTTTTGGCACTGTTTTGATACTGTTATTTTCATTCTTGATCCCTTTTTAATTTACTTTATAATTGATTTAACATTTAGTCCCTTAATATCATAATGTTGGTTTCAGCTTTGACTCCACAAATGAAATTAATGAGGTAATACATGCGTTATTTTTTAAAAGATTAATTTTTTTTATTTTTAAATATACATTAAAAAATATGTCACTCTCTTAATTTCACTTATAAAATTAAAAAATTTCACTGTGAATATATCAAATAATTTTTCATTAGTAATAGAACTTTTTAACTCCGAAAAAATTAATAAAATGACGCATGTTTTACTTTTTTAATTAATTTTTGTATTTTTTAAAATATGCATTAAGAGATATCTTATTAATACATTTGTAAAGTTACAAAAACTTTATTTATAACGTATTTGATATATATATATATATATTATATTTTGGCTTTTTTTCCTGTGGAACATTTTTTTTCTTAGAGAACAAGGTATATGTGTTTTTTTTTTAATTAATTTTTTATTTTTAAATATACATTAAATGATATATGTCACTTTATTAACTTGATTTATAGAGTTAAAAAATTTTATTGTCAGTGTATCAAATAATTTATTTTACTGTTAATATATTAAATAATTTTTCATGGGTATTAGAATTTTTTAATTCCATAAGGAAAGTTAATAGGATATATAACATATTTTTTTATTTTTTTAATTTATTTTTTTAATTTTTTAAATATACATTAAGGAATATCCTATTAATATGTTTGTAAAGTTAAAAAAACTTTACTTATAGTGTATTTGATATATATATATATATTATGGCTTTTTTCCCGAGAGAACATTTTTTCTGTGGTTGACAAATCTTAAAATGCTCAACATTATTTATCAAAAGAATAGGAATCATATTTGCTTTAGAAATTTTGGACTGCAAATTGTCACGTGAAACTAAGTCTTGCACGAAAAACCAGAATTAGATTCTTGGTGATCCTTTATGGCTAAGATTGGTTTATGGAAATTTCGAAACAAGGTGGCTCAATGAATGATGGGTAAAGGAATTCATCTTTGTCAAAAAGCAGTAATCATACCTTTAATTCTTGTGACATAAGTTATCTATTGCTTCAGCCGCCATGATATGCTGTCTGCAATTTACGAAAAAAATACCATGAAGATGGATTTCTGTACATGACTTACATTGGTGAAATTCACCTGGAGCATCATTCTAAAAGAATCCAAGCTGAACTAATTGCGTACACGTATAAGGCTTGGATAAGCAATGAAAATGTAAATTGCCAGCTTAATTTCTGTCATCTCTAATGGCTACTATGGATGTTTATTCAGTGCTATGGTTTGTTTAATGGGTTTGGAACTGAATGATTCTGTTTCTGAATTGTTGAATTTCTCCAACATGCATATTCATATAAAAGACTTGCTCTTACAGATTTGGAAATTTGATCATGGAAGTTCACATGCGATTTTGACAGATCTTTTGATTTACTTAACGGTTAAAACCAACAAATAGAAATCATTGGCCCATAAAGTTTGTTTTTGCCGAGCTCCGAAATGAGCGTTAAAATCTGAAAATCACAAAAAAAAAAAAATGATTAAAGATAAAAATAGAGAATTTTTTTTGCGTTTGTATTTCGACGCTCAAATCAAAAGTTGGTACATAATAAATTTATAATTCCGAATCGATAATTGATTAGGACATTTAATTGGAGTGATCTTAGATTATATTAATTAATGCAGGCAATTCATCATTTATATTGGTAAAAACAAGTTTTTACTCCAAAATTTGAGGCTTTGAGGCCTTCACAAATATTAATTACTGTTCATGTAAACATAAACAGACTATCAAGCTTATGTATATAACAAGAAAATAAATTATCCCTTACACATTCTAGGATTAATTCCCCATATATAGATTATTTCTTGCCCCCAAAGTATCTACCAAGCTTAAGCTTACCCCATATAACCAAGTCCTACAGCATATTGAACAAGAGCTTCCAACTCTTCCTCACTTATGAACCCATCTCCAATTTCATCAGCATGAAGTGCTGCAAGAGACCAAGGTCATTGAGGGCTTTCTTAAGCTCTTCCAGGCAGGGCCTGGGTTTATATAGAGGTTATTTCTCCAAGCATCTTCTTTATGCAAGTTCAAAAGATTAGCTTACATCCATGTCTGCAATTTGTGACCGATCAATTAAAGTATGACTTGATCTTGCATCCAAATTTGACATTATTGATCAAGATTGCTGAGAATCAGATTTTTATTCAGAATTCTCAGTCTGCATGCAAATTAGCTAGAATTAGATTCCTGGTAATCTTTCACTTATAGTTGTGGAATCAAAAATTTATTTTTTAACGTAAATTTCTTATTGATTGCTTTCTTGTATGCTTTTTTTATGCTAGCTGATGGAGCCATTCGTCCACCCAATTTGTTTTGGGTTTACTAAATATTTTAGAAGAGTTGGGCCTCCATTTGCTACGTGGCGGAAATAGAAGCTTTTGACTCTTTCAAGGGATCTACACGTGTCACTCTCTAAACCTTCCATGACCCCATGTCCCGTGGACAACCAAAGCCCCGACAATTTACACGTGAACTTTACTCTTCTAAACAGACCAAACCCACAAATCAGATCATGACAACACAACATTTTTATGGTTAAAAAACCATGTTTTTTTCCACCTTCCTATAACTGACATCAGTCAACGTTACTGTCGTAATTTTCTCATTCAACAGTGGCATTTATCAAATTTCGCAATTCTCTCTCTACAAAAGAAGAACGAAAGATCCTACCTTTTGTTATCCCTCTCCAGCATTTCCAAAACCCTACCGCCACCATGGCATGGCTACCCAAACTCCGAGTTGCCACCGCCGCCACTTCCTTTGTCGTGAACCCAATTCGATGTGGGCTCCGAGCCTTCGGAACAGCGGCTGCGTTGGAGCTTGACTACGACTATGAATACTACGAGTACGAGCAGGCTCATCGGGACCGGCGCCCAGCTCAGACAAAGGTTGACGTGGATGGCTCGGCGCCGGAGAGGGGAGTCCATTGGGTGCTTATAGGAGAGCCTGGAGTGAAACGTCATGCTTATGCAGAGAGGCTTTCGAAGCTTCTAGAAGTTCCTCATATTTCAATGGGTACCCTTGTTAGACAAGAGCTTAATCCTCGCTCTTCTCTTTACAAACAGGTCACTTTTTCTATCTCTTTTGTTGGAATTTATTCCCTTTTTTTTTTTGTTTTTGAATAAATTTGGGTATTTTTCAAAGTGGGTTTTTTTTGTTAGTACGTAGAAAGAGATAGATTTTTAATGTTTTATTCGAAAATTGATTGTCTGATTGATGAACTTTTGTATGTGTTAATTGTACTAATTGTGCTGATTATGAACTTTGTTTAATATATGATATAGTGAAGAGTGCTAATTGGTTGCTGTCCCTTGGGTGCAGATTGCAAATGCGGTGAATGAAGGGAAGCTTGTTCCAGAGGATGTAATTTTTGCCTTGTTGTCCAAGAGACTTGAAGAAGGTTACTATGGAGGTGAAAATGGTTTCATTCTCGATGGGATTCCTCGTACCAGGGTTCAGGCTGTAAGTCATCTTTGATTTTGATGGCATTTACACTTTTTGTATCTTGGTATTTATACGATAATTATATATATCCTCTGATTACAATTGCAATCTGGTTAGAGGCAAATCAATCTCTTTTTGGTTCTAAAATTTCTAAGCTGAATGGAACAGTCTGCTGAAGATTTTTTTTTCTCCTTTTTTATTTGTTATTGAAATGCTTGTTCTCATTTGTTTTTCTTTCAGGAGATTCTTGACCAAATTGCTGATATTGATCTGGTTGTGAACTTTAAATGTACTGAAGAGTACCTGCTAAAGAAGAGTTCAGAAAGTGAGTTCCTTCACTTAGGCAACTCCAAGACAGTAGGAAGTTCCTGGAAGGAAAATGTCCTTGAATACACGGAGCAGGTAATATTCCTGTTTGATATCATTGTCTAATGTTTTCAAAGTAGTTTTAGGTAATCCATTGAACATGTTCTAAATTGGCTGCAAGGGTTTCCACATTTTGTCTACATATAAGACTTCTGGGACCTTTGTTTGGACTATCCATTGGTCTGGTACCTGTTATTTATTAGTCTTTTTTGAGTTCTTTGACTAGTGAATGTGTAGTATAAAATTTCATGATAATAAGCTATTTGATTCTTTGAAATGGGAATGGAAGGTGGAAATTTTTTTCCTAACCAAATAATCTTGATCTTCACAGGCCAAGTCATTGGAGGATTACTACAGTAAGCAAAAGAAGCTTCTCAACTATCAGGTGGCCGGTGCACCTGGTGATACATGGCAAGGTCTTTTGGCTGCTTTACGTCTCCAACACATGAATGCTCTCAGTTCTTCGCCGAAAGTGACAGCATAAACTTTGTTATTCTTTAAACCTAGTGGTTAATAAACCTTAATTCATATTCCGGCCTAGTAGTAAATACATATAAGAATGAGTGATAGATAAGTTTTGAGTGTGGCGAACACCCAAGTTGGATTTGCCTTGAATTTTTGTTTTCCCTTTAGTGAGGTACCATGCAGTTTAAGAGTGTGTAATGTAATTTTGGCTAGAGATGAAGAGCAGAGATGATCATTGGCCTGTATAACCACTTCTATAATATAAATGATGCGTTCTCTTTTCATTCCCATTGGCGCACGTTTGATGTTGTCAAAGTCTCTCACAGAATTCTTGGTGTTCTCTTTCTTCACCCTTTGTGCTTGCTTACCAGGTAAGGGAGGTGCCATTGATAATTGCAGAGGAAATTCATCTAAAGCAGCCATTTATTCATGCAAGGTTTGAAAGTTTCTGCTGGAATTCATTAACCGAGAGTGAAGGATCATGCTCAGTTACCATAAAAAGTAAGAAAGCTTACGACTCTTCAGAAGTTATTTTGGATGACACGCTCCATTGATCATTGTTTTGGTAAAAACTACAATAATGGTCAATCTTTTCTTTATACAGAAACATCAATTTAGAATAACGAACCGAAACTTACCTACAGATTTGCAGCTCTAGAAAATGAAAGGCAGTGTCAACCATTTATACACTCATGAACATATAATCTACAATCATTCAGAGTTCATCCATACATCTCTTAGGAGTTCATATCTGGTAGCATTATGATAGCCATTTCCCTTTGATATCCAATTAAGCTTTGATTGAACAGGTGATGATCGGAAGCCATCAATGAAGATTGAAGCCAAGGGTGAATTCAATTCATCAAGCTCATCATCGCTTGTGTATGATTTTCTGAGTACTGAGGACCCACTTCTTCGCAGCTGAGATTGGCTTCCAACTTCTCCAATGATGCTAACAACAGATGTTGCTGAAGGCGGTGAATAAACAGGAGCAGATGCAACACATGGAAAGTCTCTGACAGACCCTTCCCTGGCTTCAACAGGATCCTGATGCAAAATAGAGGCACAAAGGTTTTTTCATATCTTCGAAGGGATAGGCTAGCAAACCCTAGTTCTACTTGAGGAAATCTTTACTCCTCGAGTAATGTTCTTTGTCCATGTAGATATGTCAAGCTCAAGCACATATCATAATTCCTGAATCCTTTGAAGTTGAGTTCAGGTGCACATGGTAAAAGTCTAATCTAGGAGTACTTCCAGATTTTATGACTAACCTCTGCCTCCAGGGCTTCAAGCACAACATCTGGAACTGGATCAGGGCAAAACTCGTCTGGGATAAAGTTGTCAAGAATTCTCTTGATCAATGCTGCACCAAATGTCGGACATACCTGAAAAAATAACGATCAAGAACTGTGAATAACCAGCAAAGTAAAGACCACAAAGCCCGGAGATTAAATAAAAGGTCTGAAGTTAGGGTGCCAAACCTCTTCCCTGATAGGTCTACATAGTAGCATGTCCTTGGGAAGCATCATGAGATCACTCAATGCATTAAGGAGATGAAAAGACTTTAAGGATGTGTCTTGTCGCTCGTCACTGTCATCCTGGTCATTCTCATCTCCCACTGAGTCATCATCGTCTATACCAAAGACGTCAGTCAAACATCTAGACCAGTTACCGATCTGACATCCACAAAAGTGAAATTCAACACGAGTTGCTTTCACCATCTTAACCAAATTGGACACAAAAAAAATCTAATTTAATAAGATCAACGATGCAAAATTCCAAATAGCCTAGGCAGAGTCAGGAGGAAAGCCATGCCAGTCAAACAACTGCCATCCCAGGCAGCCCACACCAAGAAGGAAAAGTAATATCAAAAGTTTGCAGACTTTGATATAACTACCAGTGGAGAATGGTTATGAATTATAACGGCATAATATAAAATGATTTCACTCAACAATTAACCTCGAGACTACCACATTTGCATTGCTTACCACATTTTTCAGCTGTGCACCAGCACCAAAACTTGTTTTCCCAGCTGGAATGGGAAGCACGAGAGGATTGCTAACGGGGTCAGACACAGGATCAGTAGGGATCTCATCGCCAGAATCACGAAGAATGGCATTGAAGATAGCCACATCTAATCTAGCCATGCATTGCTCCATTATCTAGAGGCGTGATATGGATGAAGAATTATAGCATATTCAATTTACAAGAAAAAGAAAACCATCAGAATAGGGGAAAAAGACCAGTGTCAGTTCCCAATAAGATGACAAAGCAACCATCAAAAGAATACCGCAAAAGTTAAATTACTTAAAACCGCAAGAGTAAGAAGCAAAGCAACAATCACTTTAGCTCTTTTAGAAATTCATAATTGTTTTTATCTTCAAGACTTTTATAAAGTCTCTTATTGTATACAAACAACTTAATGCTCATTTAAATGTTAATTCACTAACAAGAATGCTGATTGTTTCAGATACCATCAACCTCCAACTGCAAAATAGATTGTTAGTGTGTCATACTTCAGTGCCATTTAATCAATTGTTCAAAAGAGAATATTACCAGTCTAGACACCAAACGCAAGCAGCCACATTCATGCCCCGCAGCTCGAACTGGGCAAAGTCTTTCACAAGCATCCTTGAAAGCCCTCTTCCAATGGTCTAAGGAAAAATTCACTTGGCCTTGATCACTTGAACTAGATATCCTCTCAAAGCTTTTACTTGAGCCACAGCCCATACCACTATCAATTTCCTTTCCAGCCGCTAACTGCATATGTGGAGTGAGAGTCTGAGATGGAAATAAGGAACATATTTCGGTTAGCCAACTATCCCAGTTTGTGATTCAGTGTGTCATCATATATTTTATTGAAACAACTTGATAGGGAAAAAGATTTAATTGTTACCTGCCACCAAAGAGACTCGATGATTCTGGAAAAGATCCATGCTTCAACCCTTTCTAGAGCTGAAGTAAAGGCAAGTGGATTGTCCCAGTCACTATATGTGAAAAGTTTATTTTCCTTTTTGCCAGGAGAGGATTCTTTCCATTTCAAGGGAGATGACACCTGTTTCTTTCCCTCTCCAGCTTCATTTCTTTCTATGGGTCCAGCAGGGAGTGGTAACTCCAAATCCCCAATGCTTTCACTTATAATTGCTCGCAACACAACAGAGTTTGACAACCAAAATGTCAACCTGTAATCATCATACATATGACATATGAGTTCGTGAGAAGTCATAATAGTTTCATGAACTTATCATAGCTTCATATTTGAAGTTTTAATTAGCAAGACAGTGCAACATAGACCAGTCTCTAACCAATGATTTTACTCACCAACTTCGGCCTTGGCAAGAGATATCACCAGAACTTTAACCTATTACAACATCTAAAGAAAAATTGCTCTGAACTTTTCAAATTTCACTTCTCAATTCGTGGTATTTCGATTCACGGAAAGGCAGATACAGCTCCCTCCCCTCCCCACTTTCTTTTCCCACCAAAAAAAAAAAAATTCGATCCCCCGTAAGTGAACAATCAAAAAGACTAGTTATTACAACTAAATCTTTGGGAAAATCCAGCTTCATATGCTGTAGAACTGAGAAATTAGTTAATAGAACTTTTAAGACATTAATGCAAACTGGTGGTAAAGAATGTTCAGGTAGAACAACGAGAATAATATGACTTGAATGTACCTCGGAACATCATTTCCACATGCTTTTGCAACCACTGCAAGTCCAGAAACGGCACTTCTAGCTGCACTCGCTCTCCTTGATTGGAAGCCTTCCTTACAAGCATGAAGATACAACCTAGAAAGGCGCCGAGCTGGAGAATGAACCTTACTCATGGAGCTTCCATGCTCAGCAACTATTGAGTACAGAGCAGCCTCAACAGCAGCAGCTTCTCTCAACTCTCCCTCAAGAATCCTTATCTTGTTTTCCAACTGCTGCATTTTGTTCTCCAAAATGGCACTTCTAATATCCTTGGGGTATACCTTAGCATCTTTCCTTTCACTGCTTGATTTGCTTCTGATGGTTCCAGGCCCATGCTGCGCGTCCCCCTGAACACCAACATCCTTCAATTCTGCATGCTGATTATTGCTAAACAACCCATTGCTCCTAACTGAGTCTGATGAAGATCGAACAGATTTGACACGCTTTAGTCTGTCACTTTTTACGGCATTGGCCTTTGCTCCAAGATTCCGCCGTCTTAAAGAATTTTCTTGTGAATGAATATAAAATTGTTCATCTCCAGTAGAATACCTTTTCTCTTCCAAGTATTGTCCTTCATGTCCATTTTCTTGCCAATCATATCCTGAGTTTCCTTCCAAAAAATTATCATATGCATCATCAGCGGCTGAAGCCTCCTTAGAGAAAATTTTGCCATTTCTTTGAGCTTTCCTATCATCTTCTCCATCAACTAGAGAATCACTAAAATCTTTAGATTCCTGCTTATCAACCTGAGGACTGTTACCTGAGGATGCCAAATTGACCTTAGAACTAGCAGATGTCTCTTCTTTACTTTGACCATCACACCTAACCGCGGTTCCTTTATTGGCAACCATTTCATGAACCTTCTGAGATAAATCTTCATGATCATTGCTTCTCATGCTTTTGTTGGTTTCAACCTGTGCATTTTCATTAACCAAGGATGATGAAGACATATGAACTTTATGGTTAACAACGTTATCTCGTACAGGGGAATTGGAACTATAAGAGTTAAATGCGGAAGCACGAGCATCTACTGAGCTCTCGAAGTCAGATGATAAGTCTGTTGATGATGAGTAAGATGAATTCCCCTTCGAGTTGTCATGTTGTTTGACCAGTGTTGCCACATTTGTTCTTTCCAGGTGCAACTTTGAAGCCAAGGCATGTTCCCCTTTAACTTCTCCCTTGCAATCAATTACGGTGACTGATCCATTCTGCAATTCAGTACCAATTACTATATTACCTAGTGCAATTTAATTTATCAAAGACAAAATCAAGGCATACCATTAGGCTGACCATAAGATATGCCCCAACAGCATCATGATCTAAGGGTGGATATGGGAGATTTTGATTCCATCCGAAAAAAGATGCAACGAAAAAGGTTCATTACTCCTAAATAAATGGAATTTTTAATGCCACAACACAGAAAAGAGAAAGAAAAAGTAATTAACCCCATATGAAGGTCATAAAGGAAAAAACTAAAAGCTACCTCATTTCGAGGAAGTGAACTTCCATTTGATTCCAAAGTTGAAGAAGAAACAGTCAGAGATGAGTGTGAAGAAACATCATCATTAGTGAATGAAGCAACCTCAACTTCCTCAGCATATTCTTCATCCATCAGAGCAGAAACAGACTCACTTCCTTTTTGGTCCAGCGATGGCTCTTTGGACAGGCTGCCTTTTGATGAAGAGCTGTTCCGACCCTTATAAAGTCGATCAATTTTAATATACAAAATTGGCAGACCAGTGTTACTAAAGCTCCTCTGGCTGTTCATTGGAACAGTAATGTCTGATGTCTCTTTGATCACACTGTATTCCGCCAAATCCACAATGGCAGTAGATAACAACTGGATCTTATCCCTTCCAGGCTCATACAAGTTAAATTCTAAGCAATTCTGCTGGAACACATCACCATCCCTGCCTTTAACAGACATGTCCCTCACTAGATTCACAGGTAACTTAAATGACTCATTAAACTCAATTTTTCCCTCACCAAGAATGGAACCAAGTGTAGGTGAAACAGTGTTGGTAGACCCTGATCTATGTTCACCATTTTCCCACTGAATCAGGACGGAACTAAGTGATCTCAGTGACTGAGATGGGGGCCAAGGTTTAATCTCCTGAATGTGGATTAGATAATCAACATGAACCATTGGCCCTCTCCGGTTCTTTGCACTCAAAAACTAGTATTTTTACCTGGATGTGTTTAATCTTAAACTATTTAATCCGAAAGGTAGTTGAATTCCTACAATGCAGAAAGCGTTATAAATTTTTAATTTTATTAGAGAAACTATGCATCAAGCATTAAGTGCACAAGCGGCATAACTAATAACAACCAAGCTTATAATCCTAAATCCTAATACATTTTACCATGAAGGATCAAGCAAAAACGAAATTACCACCAGCTTAAGAAGACTCATTTGTAAGCCCCAGAAACAAATTAAAGGCAAATTTCCTGCATTTTCTCAACAACCAAACATAAGGGCATGTAGCTTCCAATAGAACAAAAACTAAAAGAAACATAAAGTAACAAATGATAGTTGCACTCAAAAGCTAAACCACTCAGGCAGACATTATTAACATAAAAATGAAGAATTAATCCAAAACAGAAAAATAGCTTATAATCATAGCTCCAAAACAGAAAAAAGAATTAAAGCAATGAAATTAACAAAGGAACTTTGAGCTCATTCATGCAATGGACATTAAGTAAGCTAAAGAAAGCTTAAAAAAAAAAAGAGGAAAAAGATATAAATATATTATTGCAACTAAAAATAGAAACATTTAAGTTCATTAAAAGTTAATTAATAAAAAACCAAAAAATTAGTTCTGCCGAAGGTTAAACGCTGCAGTTTTGGAAGGTTTTCTCGTGTCGTTTTCCGCTTTAATTGTGCTGCGTTGGCGGAAATGGTTCTATTTAAATAAATTAATTGTGCGAAGACGTTATTATTTGTAAGGAGATTTTAACACGCGCTTATATGGAAAGTGATCGAATATCTCGGCTGAATTTTATTAAATGTAATAATTGTATTTATATTATTAAAATATTAAAATAATATATTTATATCAAATTTTATATAAAATTTGTGTCATAAATTATGTAAATGTAAAAATATAAAATATTTTTTATTTTATTATATTTATATATAATTATTATTAAAATTTTAAATTATATTATTTTATATTTTATTTTTATCCTATCATTATATTATATTTTAAATTATCTAATGTACTGTAAGGTTTCTGAGTTGCGTGACTCTTTTGAATTGGGCGTGGGACTAAATTGAAACAAGCGTTTAAAACTCGTGTCTGGTCTGTCTTGGTTGGCTGCTTTAACCGACGTTACATTGTTTTTTTTTTTTTTTTAAGAAATAAAATTTTGGGTAAATAAATTATTTAAGGAAAGAGATATCATATTTGATAATCTAAAATAAGTAATTATAAATCATTTTTTTGAGATAATTTTAACAAATAGTTATCGATAAGACTCGAACTTAAATTAAGATAAAATATATCGTATTTGATAATTTAAAATAAATAACTGTAAGTGATGAATTTAAAATTATCTCAATAAATAACCACCGATAAGATTAAAACTAAAATTTTTTTGTTAAAAAATATAAATTTAACCGATTGAATCAATCATTTATTGATAACGTGAGAGTGTTGTTTTTCGATTTTCAATAACACACGCACCCCATGAAAGTGGACCCACGCTTTTTGGGCTTTAATCAGTTGGGTAATCTGATGACCAAACGAGACATATTTAAATCACAACATGATATTACAATAGAAATATAATACCAAAAATATAAATATAATAATCATGTATGAATGTAATAAAATTAAAACATATTTTTTTTTATTTTGTATAAATACATATTTTAACACATGATTTTATATATATAACACAATAAAAATACATAAATTTTAATATTTTATATAATATAAATATACCAATCATTAAATTTACTTTTTGATGATGATTGTTGGTTTTTTTTTTAATTTTTTAATCCACCTCTGATCCTTATTTTTATAATTATATGATCAAACAGAACATTATGCACATAAAAATTTTTTTGAATCCGCAAGATTTGCCAGCATCGAATCATTAATAACATATCAATTAATCAAAACGCAATCGACATGATTGTTGGGTATTCTGAGCAACTTCAAGCTTGTCAAAGCACCTATAATAAAATATTCAACAAGGAATGGCAAGCCATTGTGTTGCAGACAATGAAGCATAATAATTGTGATGAACTGGTTCCTTCTTCAGCTAGGGTATATTTTTCAAGATCCCCTCAAGGGTATATCGTGCATTCTGTGAATGCATGCCCATTTTCTACATCATATTTCATACAGAAACCAAAAGACAGTAAAACAAAGGATTAGATTATATCATAATCAACAAACAGTATAACTCCTATTTCGATGGTGATCCATCTTTCTGATGCGAAGATTCCAAATACGAGATTACAAGATCAGCTGCTTTGCACCCAGAAGCAATTGCTTTGCCAACAGATAATCCGGCTTTGTGGTTACCTAGCAATGTGGTTCACAGTTCACACAAATAAAAGGTTATAAAAACTGATAATCGTGCCGATTCATTATCTTATATTCAGACAAGCACATCCGGAGAACAATCCTTCTTTCAGATGTTAACTTCTAAATGATTCATTTCACCATCTGAAAGTAATACAAATTAATTTGTTAAAAGTTGATAAGTGCACTGAATGTGATTGACAGCAATGAAAATCTCAGGTCAAAATCTTCCCGGTTATTATTAAGATTTCAAATTTTGTTTTTGCATCCAAGTGCCAACTCTTTCTACAGGAAAGGACCGAGGTGAATGATTTATTACTGCTTATAAACTTCCGAGTATAACGGCAGTTACTTACCTGCATAGAAGAATCCAGGAAGATCTCTCTCCATCTTTTCAATTGCTTCCACTACTGAAGCATAGTTACGGCCGTATAAGGGAAACGCCTTGCTCCAGTAGAAATGACTGTTATTAAGAAATTTTCAAGTTGTCAGAAAATGTATGGTAGCAGTGTATTTTATCTCAGAACTCATACATAAGCAGTAACAATAAATGAAATGTTAAGGTAATGGTTCATGTACTTCAAGAATGTGGGCTCTCCCTCCACTCCCATCAACTGCCGAAGGTCAGAAGTAACAATTTGCTTTAACTCATCTCTAAAACAATGATTTTTCAATGAAAATTATTAGCAAAATAGTTATACATACAATGACTCAAGAAAAGTATAGTAAAATAAAAAAACTATCAAGTTTTCTTTACGTCGAGGCTTTTGCCAGCTCCTTATTTCGTCTTCCTCCAACAAAGGTAGTATAGAGATACAAATTATCAGGTGCACGATCAGGAAACATTATAGATGAAAAAAGTGTACCTGCAAAGAGTCAATACATACAATGAACACACTACGGAAAAATATACGAGTTAATCTTAAATGTACTGTACCATAGCCAAGCATTACCCAAAGTTTTTAGACCATTTTGTTGCTCGTTTGAAGGTACAAGAACACCAAATCCTTCTAGCGGTCTCTTGACATTCTCCTTCTTAAAGGTGGTAATAATAACAGATACTGGCATATAACTCACCTACATTTTAATGGCAAGAGAAGGTGAGTACATGACAATAAACTTAAACTGATACTAAAAGCATTTTTGCTCATGTAAAAATAAAAAATATTTGCATCATCCCATGTAGATTGACAAGGAAACTGACATATTCTAAATATAAGCATTTTCCTCAAATCAAATTGCAAATACCTCAGGGATAAAGTTCAATGGAAAGGGCTTTCCGCCTTTCATAATTTTCATTTCTTTAACATTGCATAGGGGAGCCTGCAATAAAAAATAAAAAATAAAAAATTCATGATCTTTTAGAAATGATATCTTTTAACAAATAAGTATAATGCATTGCATGTCAAAACACAAGATGTTCTTTTGGCAGTATCAAATAAGAATAATTTCTACAGGTTGATTGTCTACTAAACAGAGTCCAACTAACCGTCATTATTACAGCATCAAAAGATGAACCTTGCGAGCGCTTGTCACGGTCAGAAGCATGAGAGAGAGACCAATTCTCTAATGTAGACTTCTCACCATGACTGTAAGATAATGACAAAATCTTTGATTTCAGTTTAAGCTCATCTTTGGAAAGATCTTTGCACAACATATCAGTAAGCGTCTGCAAAAGACATCCAAAAATAAAGGACCATATTTAAATGATAAAAGTTTGTGGCAATATCATGAGAGTATCAGTTAAAAAGACCATATCTGGTTCAAGTTATTGATGCTAAAAGAATAGGAAATAAGACCTTTTGGTAAAGCTAAGGGAACGGACATTTTAACCTATATTTGGGTTAAAATTATAACCCTAGTAAAATCTGAAGAATAAGAAATGGGTGTGCAAACAAGTTATCCATAAATCATTTACCTGCATTCCACCCTGAAAGGAAAATGAGCCACGCAGAGCATTCTTTTTCACCGAAGATTTTGTTTCTCCACTATTTTCCCTTTTGGCAGATAATTTAGATTTAAGTGCTCCAACGATGATAGAGCCAAACCTGACAAGCAAGAAAATGAACAAGCATCGACCAAAAAATTAACAATGGTTTTAGTTAGCAAAAGAATGTAATAGTTCTTTCACTACTAAATTTTCAGCAAATGCCGCCTATTTTTAAAAATATAATGCATCCAGGTAATAGAAATTCACAATAATTGACAGCCAGATACAGTTCTTGAGCACACATTGGAGGCAATTTTGAGATACACCTAGTCCAAATTTAAACGTGCTCATTCTAACTTTAAACAAATACCATGAAGGCCAAAACTATAATTTGTGTGTTCACAACTGAATGTTTTGGTAAAATTGCAAAAGAAGCAACACAAAACTGACAGAATAGTCCCAAATCGTGATGTCATCAGCAGTTGTCCCAGATCACAGAAATTTACAGAGTATGAGAAAGCAAAGAGTATCTATCAATTTCATATTAGTAAATTAGTCTTCCAGTGCCTAGGGAGAGTAATAACAACTACCTATAATCCCTCATAAGTTTAGAATAAGCAATTTAATGGCTCTAGAACAAAGTGAACAAATTGATATCATATCTGAATTCAGAGATTGAAACAAAATTTTTTTCAATTTGTTCAGCAAAAATCAGTCAAAAGAAATACCTTTGCTCAAGATCCCATATCTCTGGGAAGGAATGACGCATCTGTTTTTAACAAGAAAAGGAGAAAGATAAAATGAACCATCACCAACAAGACCCACTTCATGGCTCATGAAAGCATCGGAAAACACTGATGATTAATGTAAATTGAAGGAAAAGCAGGTTTATTCTTCCTTCCATGAAACTTAAATAGATTAGTCCAAAGATATGAGGCATTACTCACA